ATATACACTCAAGACACTACTCATAACACAGTACACACTACACTTTCCCCATTACAAATGTCATTAAAGTATAATAGTAGAACTTTAACAAGCTAAAGAAAAACACAAATAAAGAATGACTGATATCTGTAATTGTATACCAACATATTTTCAAGGGATTATTTTACTTTTGTTAGGTTCTTTTTTGTATCTAATAGAATTTAAATGTTTATATATTTTACGCTTGCAGCTTGTAGATTAAAAGTGGTGAATTAATGTTGGTCATTTTAAGGGCGTTTAGTAGAACATTTGTTTAAGAATATGGCGGCGATTGAGACTAGAACGCCAAAAGAGAATAGATATTTACTTTAACTATTTAGTAAATAATTAAATAAACAAAGTTAAATTGATACAAGTATATGTGGTTACACCCAATATGGGTTCGAGTTTTAAAGAGCTTCATTACTTATATTTAAGAACATGCTTTAGGATTTGTTACAGACTCAAAAGGGTTTTAAACATTTTCGAATTTTATACGACCTCACCAATTTATACAATTTTTAAAAACAAACCCTGATCCATCGAATTATAATTGAAAAGGTCCTAATATAATTGAATTTATTATAAACAATATTAGACAACTTTTTTGTTTTATTTAGTTTTTTAAGTACAAAAGGTACAAAAAACTTTAAGAAATTAAGTTAAAAGGTCATCACTAGCAATCACGTCATGCATGCATCCAGTGCTATTCGCAAGCTGAAACTATTACAGATAAAAATATTCAGTTCTATAAGTTAATGCGAAAGAGAGAAAAGTTAGCGAATTTTGCTTTATAGGTGCAAGTTTTGTGAATGACATTGATGAAAAAATGCTAGAAAACTTACTCTTCACACTGTACTTTCCCACTCTATGGTTTCTTTTGGTCTTAGGCTCTCTTCAAGTGTGTCACATGGCTGTATGGGAAAACACGTTGTAATAAAATTTTTAGAAAAATCGTAATCAAGTCAAAAACAAATTTATGAGAATGTATCTGATATGCGCAAAAGCGTTCTGCATTGCTAAGTGTTATACAAACGAGTACAGCTTTTATTACCAAATACACGTTTTTATCACTGCTTAGTAACTACTGATTTGGTGGAAATTCAAATTGACATTATTTAACCGTAAACATCCATATTATTAATAGTAATTTTATAACTCGAATTTGTAGCTCATACTTTTCAGCGAAATTCGTCATATACTTAAATAATCTAATTAGTCGTCACATGTTTAGGGATTCTAATGGAAACTGTTATAATTAAAATTGAAATAAAATGTGGTATGTTATTTGAAGAACAGTTTGCATATAACCGGTATTTCTCAAACATAGAGTTTTTCACAATTGAAACAAACTACCTTACCATACATCGTAACAATTAACCCCGAAATAAATACACACAGCAGGCAAAAGCACCCGAACTCAAAACACGTTGGCACAGATATAAGACACATTGATTGTGATTCAGTCGTATTGGTACGAAGCTTAAAGTCTCCTTTATTATTAAGTAAAAATTTGGATGTACGTAAAAAAAAAAGAACAAGGATAATAACTGGTAGCACACACTGTTTAGCGTGCTGTGAGACAATTTGATGGAAATAAATGAATTAAATAAAACCTATTGTATTAGCCCAAAAACAAAATATGAAGAAAACTTTTCAACGACCAATTTTATTATAATAGGCATTTTCGACTTGTAGCTTATGTATATACATATAAATATATACATAAATATATATAATATACATAATCTATACACATAAATGTTTGTTTACAAAAAATATTTGACAACACTTTATCAACTCTTCTCCGCATAAAACGTTTCTTCTTGTTAAATATAATTTTAAGGGCACTTTTATTTTCCTGCTTTTATTGTTGTATTTGTCTTTTATTTTGGTAATGTATGAATTTATGTATGCGTAAGTATGAACATTAGTAAATGCATGTTTGCAGAGAAGTAAAATAAATTACTAATGCTGCTGTTTCCATCGATCTGGAGTTGTACTGTTTACAGAGTTAAAAATTTGTTCCGAAATCAGCGCAAAAATGGAACAGGATTTGTAAACAATCTTGGTTATAGCAGCTAAAAGGCGCCAAAATTGTTCAAAATTTATTATCAAATTAATAACATATAAATTTAGTATTGTAATTAAGAACCTCAACATAATTTACTGAAATAATTAAGTCTTATATTGAAAATGTGATTGAACACATAACTTACCCTACCTACTCTCTATAGATTTCACATCTATTGGAACTGAGCCACTCAATTTAACTTAAATATAACTTTACGTTCTTTTTGTGCAAATATACATATATATTATATTATTATATATATATTATATATATTTTTATATTATATTATATATATTATTATATATTAAAAGCAAGGTGCCAGCTAACAGCTCAAAGACGTGAAAGGAAGAAAGAAAAAAAGTGTCAGATATAAAATTACCACCAAGACAAGACTTAAAAACCATCAGAATTATGTTACATAATGTTTATGTAAAAAACGTATAGATAAACATTATCACTTTGATCTTGCCTATAAGCCTGAGAAGCGATCATGCACTCGTCAACAATCTAAAATTTTTATCCGATTGCGTATGGGAACCTCAAAGCTTTTTCATCAAACTGTCCATTTTGTAATAGCACACCATCCATAGATCATATACTTAACGATTGCCTTTCTTTTAATTCTATTCGTAGTAATATCTTTTCAAACATCTTACCTACCAGCCCATTAAAAACAATTACTGCTAAAATATACTTTTGATATATAAATATATTAAAGCCTGTAATCTAGTCAATAAAATTTAATTTATAATTTCCGAGCTGAGCCCTGGCAGTTACCACTCGTTGTTGTTATCTTAGGTATAAGATTTTGTATTTTGTAATTAATTATAATTAATAAATAAACATTATCACTGTAAAATAACTTTGAAAATTCATTATTTTTTTTGTTTTTCATATCATATATAAGAAAATATAGGTCACGAGATATCAGTAAAATTTTATGTCTTCGAGCACGCCATGGACCATCCGTTGATAGTCATTTATTATTTAATATTTATTAAACATAACTGTTTTTATATATTTATATACTCATGTAAACACGTTTTTTATATTTTGAAAATCTCAATTTTATCTAGCTGAATGAAATTCGACAGTTATAACTCCTTCAATATAATTACATTTATGATATTATATGCATTTGATATTTCACCAACACAATCATCAACTTGTTGTGTCCACTCTAGCCAGGTGTAGGGCATAAAACCATTTTTGTTTACTAAAGCAGTTATGGGAGAGCAGAAAAGCACTAGTATCAATGAGAGCAGCACACAGTAGTAGCACAAAACAATTTTCTCTCAGTCAGCTGTCAATTTGAAACTCCCAAAATGATTTTTCATTATGTTATGCATAGAAAACGTAGTGCGCTTGAGCCAGAGCGGAGATAAGCGCTAGCTTCGGCGTCAGCAGCAGTAATAGAATTTATTGAAAACGTAGATAATAAAAAAAAAAAACAAAACCGTAAGGGAGCAAGCAATTTTATGCAATAATTTCTATATAAATTCCGTATAACACTTTTGAAAAATGTGACGTTGAGTTTTTAGTTTTCGGTTTTTGGTTTTCAAAGCAATTGGCACATTTAAGAGAGTCACACTTGAACTAGCAACAGCAAAGTGAAGCAAGCAGCGGCCGCAGCACAACGACGACGACGACATTAATGTATAAAAAATGTTTGAAATTTTACAAGAAAATTACTAAGATTTTATTTTAATTTAAATAAAACATTGTGTTGTGTTGTTGCTATTTTGTTGTTGTGTTATTTTGTTGTTTTGTGGTTTTATGAGAATAATATTTTTTTATTTATATGCTCCTTAATTTTGTGTTTTTATTTATGTAAAGCATTTATCGATCACACACCAAACTGAACGGTTGTATAAAACTTTGTATAAAACATTTTCAAAGTCAAACGCAAATAGAAAAAATTTGCAAAATTAAAAAATTATAATAAAAAAATTGTTGAATTTGCATTGTAAGACTACAAACAAAAAAAAAGTATTTTGTTGAGAACTAAAATTGTTAATGTGAAATAAAATTTCAATAAAAAAGATTGTGCATATAGAATAAAAAATAAATGTGAAAAAAAAAACAAAACTTGCTTTATTTTGTTCAAATATTAAGTTTTTAAACAACGAAAATACCTCGAAAATAAGCAATTTAAAAACCAAAACGTAACAATTTCTAAAACAAAAACAAATTTTTTGTATATATTATATATTGCAACAAATATTTGAAGGAAAACACAACACAGTATGAGTCCAATTGGTGAGAAATCAAAATCCAATAAGAAAAATGCAAGCAGGAAAATGTAAAATGTGAATAGGAAAAAGACTGCGTATTTTGCCATTGACGAGAACAAAGTAATATAAATTAAACAAGAAAAGTACAATATAACAAAGAAAACAATACTTATTGTTCTTTGGAATTGTTTTTATTTAACAAAACAAAAATTAAATCATTATAAAAAAAACAACAGAAACAAACCTCCTCTGCAATATTTGTGATGTTTAAAAAAAAGCAATACCAATCGTAGCACAAATATAGCATATACCATATTCCACAACATTTATTGTAATTACTATTATTTATAAATTAACAAAAATATGTAAATTTTACAGCTCACAACTGTTATTTAAATGTTATTAAAATAAAGAAAATAAACAATAACAGTGCTTTATAAACGTATAAACGTAGCAAATACAAAAACAAACTCGAATGTGGCTTTTTTAAGAATTTAATCATTTCAAAATAAAGTTACACTAAGTAAAAAAATAAAAAGTACTTTAAAGATAGAAAAAACCCTCAAGTATTAAATATTGCGTTACCTTTAAGCTGCTTTAACCTTAAAAAGCAGGTACTTGCTTAAAAAAATTAATACAAATTAAATTGATAATGAAATTTTTATATACAAAAACAAAAGAAATACGATAAAAATATATTATATAAAAACAAACAACAATGTAATAAAGCAAACGTATACAGAACGATAAATAATATTAAATGAATAATATCAATAACAATTATATCAGCACTAACTGAAAACACACATACGAAGCGAGAAGTGCATTGAAGCAGAGTGAAAAGTGGTATAAAGTAGCAATAGCGAATCGCTCTCCGACTCCGAGAACAGCGGCGACAGTGGCAACAACTAAAACAAAAACAAACTCAACGCACAAAAACAAATTTTCATATGTGCTCTCTTGTCGATATTGGAGCAAAATTGGAGCGTTCAATATTTAATTGAATTCAGAGCACATTACAACGGCAGTGGGCTTGCTGATTTTATTTTGAATTATACTCTGGCGGTTAGCAGGCGTGCATGAACAAAGTGACAAACGTCGTGGTTGTTTGTGGTGAAGTGGTGGAACGTTTTTGTTCTTTGAGAACAAGACAGTTACAGTCACGTTGTGTGCAGGAATGTTATAACTATTGAAAAAATTAAACTTTTCAATTATTAAACTGAAGAGTTAGTTGTCCTTTAAACTTTGCAAAAGTGAGAGAAAATAAAAAAAAACAATCATATTAAATCAATCAGAAATCCGTAATAGTTTATTAATAATAAATAAAGGCGAAAGCAATGGGTGATTCAAATGCTTTGGGTTCTAGTACTCGTTTACGTAAAATTGAACGTACCGATAGTGAAATAGCCTGTGAAGAAGCCGCCCGTCTTACAGCTGACATACAAGAAGGTGTAGGTAGTCCAGAAGACGATGATGATATTAGTGACTACGGTGAATTGCCACCTCCTCCAGATGGTGGCTATGGCTGGGTCATTTGTTTTGCCTCATTTATGTGTAACATGATAGTGGATGGCATTGCATATACATTTGGTATATTTTTGGGTGAATTTGTTGACTACTTCGGAGAAGGCAAAGGCAAAGTGGCTTGGGTAGGCAGTTTATTGAGTGGAGTGTATTTAAGTGCGGGTCCGATCGTTTCTGCTTTAGCAAATAAATACGGTTGTCGTACGGTTTGCATTGCTGGTAGTATTATTGGTTGTATCGCTTTCGTGCTGGCCACTATAAGTACTTCGGTAAATATGCTAATGATCACTTATGGCGTTATTGGTGGTTTCGGTTTCGGATGCATTTATTTGCCAGCTGTAGTAGCAGTAGGATACTACTTTGAAACTAAACGTTCGCTTGCCACTGGTATTGCAGTTTGTGGTTCCGGTTTTGGTACATTCGCCTTCGCACCACTTGCAACATATTTACTACAACAGTATGGTTGGAAAAATGCGCTTCTTATTTTTGCCGGTTTAATATTGAATTGTGCTATTTTCGGTGCAATGATGCGTCCACTGACGTATCCAAAAAAGAAAAAAATCAAACCACTAATGCAGCGTATGTACGAGGAAAAGCAATTGCAACTCGAACGTGGATCCTTCACAGGGTCACATTTTACTGTACAATTACCTGATGGTTCATTCGAGCGTAAATTAAAAATGCCACTTAATGCCGACCCTGGTGTACATTCCAGTCTTAACTTGGAATTGTTAGCACAACAGAGCTCTTTGCAGCCTGTTTCAACACTACCTACAATTACAGAAGCAAAAGTTGTAGATTTGCAAAATGGTAATCAAAGTCCACCAAATGTGGACAGTAATGGTCAACTTGATGTTAGACGTACTGCAGGCAGACGCACGCATCGCAACTCAGAAACCGATACTAGCCCCTACAATTCATCTGATGCCATGATACGCAATGCTTCACAACCTGCTTTTAGTATTGATCAACAAAGTCTTCCAAAGAATGGTTCGGTACCATCCTTCAGTCGTGTTCGAAAAACATCCGCTAGCGAACGATTTCAACCTTCATTAGCCGCTATACGTGCATCATCTCGTGGTGATATCGATAGCAATGGTGTTGAATTAGGTTATACCTCATCCAAAATGTCCTTATCGCAACGTCCAGAAAGCAGTGGTAAAATGGTACGCCCATTATCACGAAAAGATATATTCTATTCCGGTTCTGTAACTAATCTACCGCAATATCAATCACAAAAATCATTAACTAATTATCGGAATTCAGTGCTCTCTTTGACGAAATACGAAAAGAGTATGCAAAGTGTACGTGTACATGATCCCCTAGCCGAAGCTGAAAAGGGACGCGAACAATACGATTTATGTCCATGTTTAGGTATACCAGATTCTATTAAAGCAGTCTTTAATACCATGTTGGATGTAAGCTTATTGAAAGATCCTGTTTTTATGCTCATTGGTATATCTAACGTTTTCGGCATGGCTGGATTGTATGTGCCATTTGTATATTTGGTTGACGCTGCTAAAATGGTGGGCATTGAAGAAAATTCAGCTTCATTTTTACTTTCAATTATTGGCATCACTAACACATTCGGCAGGGTAATTTGTGGTTATGTAGCTGATTTTCCACAGGTAAATTCCTTATTCCTAAATAACATTTGCTTGCTGATCTCTACAGTTGCTGTAACGCTAACACCACTTTGCGCCTCATATGGTGCTTACGTTACAATGGCAATTTTCTTCGGTATAGCTATTTCCGGTTATATTTCGCTAACGTCAATTATTCTCGTCGATTTACTGGGCCTTGATAAACTAACAAACGCATTCGGTTTACTTATTCTCTTCAGAGGATTTGCAGCTATAATTGGTTCACCATTAGCTGGAGCAGTCTATGATGCAACACAATCTTACGATTTACCCTTTTATATGGCCGGTGGTTTATTTGCATTATCGACAATAACTAGCTTTTTAGCACCATGCCTGAAACGTTGTACAACAACTGAAGAAGTGCCAATACATATAGATGCACTTGAACCTATTAACGAAGAGCAAGGAGAGGAGGAGGATGAAGAGGATCAACCTATAACTATTGTGCCGAAAATTGTCAAAACATTACCCAGCCCGCAGCAAGAGGACGGAAAACAGAAGTTTCCAAACGACATAACAGCTAACGCCGCAGAATCAAAGCTTTAAAAATAGAATACCTCCATAAGTCAATAAGCGAAATTTAGAACTTTAGTATGCGGGTTTGAAACAACGTTAAGACGATAGATAGGAGGAGAAGGAGTACGCAACGCAGATAGACAAAATTGTTGTAAGTTTTGCCAGAGCGATATTTTTTTTAAAAAACTTTACAAATTAATACTTTTACAAATATTAAACGCATAAAATTACTTAAGCTTATTATTTTTAAAACAAATTATACATTATAAAGATTTAATACTATTATTCATATAGAACAAAATAGCTTTTTAGCTAAACACTGAACTAATGTACATTAAGAAAAATACCTTAGCTTAGCAATTTAAACAAATGAAAATAATACATAATGCTAAAAATGAATTATAAACAATTAAACAAAATAATTATTAATTAAAGAAGATAAAGTAAAGTACGAGTATTGAAAAATTAAGATATTTATTAAGAGAGGAATTGTACCAAAAATTTATAAACCAAATTTAATTAGAGAAAGATACCTTCAACTATTATTATGTTTTGGTCTATTGTGTTACATTAACAAAGGATGCGATATATGAATTATAAATATTATATTTGTATACATAAATTATGAAATTATAAAATTATATAATTATGAAATTATGAAATTATTAAATAGCATTAGAATTAATTTATTTTTATGAACTTGTATGCGTGTTACTTGTGGTCGTTGAAATTTGATGTAATCTTGTAATTATAAATGGAATAAATGTATGTAAAAAGACAAGAGAAACTTAGAATAAAAAAGTATAAAAAAGGGGTTTTATATATGTAGAAAGGCATGCTGTTTTAAAATTATAAACTCGATTATGAGATCTAAACTATTAATTATATTGTATTACATACACGTGAAACAAATATTTGTATATATAAAATTTTATGTATTTGCGCACTGTCAGAGATTGTCGTTATAAACGATAAACTCAGTGCTTAACTAACTGTTAGTATTACAAGAATTGTGTTATATGTACGTACTTTGTTTTAAATTAAAAAAATATATTTTTCAATTTTTATTTAATTGCTCAAAAGCACTAAAATGATGTTAATTAAATCTAATTGAAGTATGAAAGAAATTGAATGTAGAATTCGATTGTTTTTAGGGAGAACATTACATGTACATTAAAATTATACAAATATACAATAAATGTAAACATTTAATCAACATATTCAATATTTTCATAAATTTTAATTAACTTCAAGTTTTCTATTCTATAATCTATACTTTCAATCAATCAAACGGAATTGATGCGAGAAAATTGAATACGTTCAAGGATAACAAACAACACTACAAGTCCGTATAGAACTACTACAGAGAGCTTAGGATAGATAGTTGTTCTTGTACTTAATTGTACGATAAAATTTTGTTAATATTTAGTTGAAATATTTTTTTATATATTTAGAATTATAAATTGAATGTATATTTATTTATTTTCAAATCAAATATAATTAATTTAGTTATTTAGTGTATAAAGTGACGTTGTCATTATTGGTCAAATTAATACTGTACGATATGCATAAATTTATTGTAAAACAAATAAAATAAAATTGTTAACGCATAGAACGCATCAATAAAATTTACAACAAAAATGTTAAACATAATTTGCCATATTTTAAAGCGAAATAATTGATAATAAAAATACAATAAATTACAACTGAAGAAGAACTGATCTTATTTTAATGTACATACTAAAAGCATTTTATTAATATGCATATGTTAAAAATTTAGCGCCCATATAAATAATTAGCAAGTACTTAACACTTCAACGGTGTAAAGGAATCAGAGATCGAAAAGCTGCTTACAATTCTATTGAACTTTAAATACACTGTAAAAAATCTATGCTCAAATAACATACAAAAATATCAGACAATATTTTCAAATGCCGCAACAATTGAGCATTATAAGAATTTTACTACAAAGATCTAATCGATCGTATCTACATATTTGAAATCTCTCCGCAACATCAATCACCAAGTACCACTCACCACTCTCTCTAATGGAAATTTCTCTATTCGAACAAAAAGGCGTCAAACAGAATTCCCAAGCACTGATTATGTAAATGCAATTTGGACTATAACATACTTATACATAAAATTCAAGTTTTAGACCATGGTCATAAGATATATATTAATATCTGCATAAGATAAGAACTTATGTTTAGTTTATGGTTGGAAAATACCACTACGGTAACTATATAACTATATACAGATGTTTGCTGGTAATCGATTGCATACCCATGAATAATATAAGTTTAATATCTAAACACCCATATGTCAATCAGTATCTATAAATCTATGACGTACTATTCTTTTCTCAAAAAATACAAATCACATAGTACACTTACACCTGGAGTAGAAAAGTAAATTAGAAAGGATCAAAACCAGTAGTTTTATATCTCTTATAACCGAGCATTAACTAATGGCAGGTACGTACAGGCACTACAAAAAGAGACGAAAAAAGAAGAATAAAGAAAGAAGGACCTTTCTGTTATTGTACAAACACCGAGCTTTAGTAAAAAACCTAGCATCTGAAAAACTCTTCTTCGAGAACTTCAAACAAATATCAGAAACTAATATCGCAAACTAGATATGATTCCCAATAAAATTTAAATAAATTAAATTTTCAATAGTACTATAGTAACTGTGTAGCAGATGACAACTGGCAGGCAATTGCGAACTCATGAATTATACATGTTAAATATCTAGATACCCACATGTCAAAAGGGGAAGATATCTAAAAACTAGAGCCGTAAGTTGAACTTGTTACAGATTCACTCTTATACTTAGATTTCTAACTGAAAAAACGAGATAGTTAAACTGCTATAAGACAGTACAAATACCATAAATACTGTAACACAAATTAATTTATTCAATTAATTTATACACTATATACACATTAAGAAGTTAAAAACAGGTTTACCCTCTATGAAAACAATATTGACTGCACTCATCTTGGTGATAATAAATTACTAATCATTTTTAGTTCTTAAATCCTAAAAGCTTCGAAATATAGACTAGTTTAATCTTAAAATATTTTAATCAAAATATATTAGATTAATTTATGTGAAATAGATAATGTATAAGACTATAGAAATCATGATAATATATTAAACAAATCTAGATTACATTGTATTTACTCATTGTGTCATTGTATTCAACAATCTTAGAAATATAACATATGAAATTAACACATTCACTAGGAATAAGGGAAGTATGTATCGACGGAATTTAATAGATTGCTAAGTGTAAAACCGTCTCTTCTTTAGTGTTGGAACAGAACACGTTTCTAAGAATTTTTTTATGTTTTTAATGTGATTAACCAAGAGAATTGGTTTCAGGAGAAGCAGAATCTGAATTCCAACACCATTCTTGTACAAAGCCAAAGCGTCCCTTATCACTCCTGTTAATGTTTTATCAATCTTAAAAATTTGTTGCAACAACAAATGATTACATGTGACTAGTACATGTATTGAGATAATTACAATATAGTAATAATTATTATCCTATTATTATTATTATTTGAAATTAAAGTATATGTATACCTTAGATATATAAATAATTCTTAGGTATATAATATAGCTTTGTAATAATTTAAATAACACAAACTATTTTGTATTTTATTTAATATTTAAAATTGTTAGTGACGTAGTCATCTGGCGTAGTCTACCTTATTATAACTGAGCACTTGCAGTCAACTAGTTTAATACTCCTTTAAACCTATTTTTAAGATCCTACTTCAAATCGACTTATCACTTATTATTAGCTGCGCTGGCGAAATAGCAATTAAACTTAACTATTTAGAAAAATGTAAAACTTATCTATCTATTGCTCTCCAATTTATTAGGATATCTCACAAAACGTTGCCTATTCGTTAAGCTATCTAAATTTAACAAGATACGTTAGACTAAAGCAAGAAAAGTGGCAAAATAATTATTCAATCTGTACATTTAGTATTATATGCCATCTAAATACAAAGCTTTCAACTATACAGCTATATAGGTTGTATAGTTCTATAAGATCAGATATACGGTTTGGAAATTATTAAAAAAAATAATAAAGATCAAATAATAAGCGTCATAAGGAACACCTAAGTTAATCTAACTCACAGAGGTGTACTTTAACCAAAATACATGACAAATATATCAGTTTATGATAAAACCAAATATCGCTCCTCAACTTTTAAAAAGTAATATCTACATTTCTTACTTAAACTTTTAATAAACAACTTAAAATAATTTTTTTTTATTTGAAAATGACTATTATTAAGAATAATAATATAAAACTGACCTGATATATAGAAAATCTTACTTTGTATTTTATTGTATTTAAAATACAAAAAGTAATTCACTCCCAAAGAAAGTGAACAAAAGACCTTTATCGTACCAACGACACAATGAAAATTGCGAGTTTAAGGAAAATGCATATTGCGATTCAGATACAAAGTGCAGCACTTGCACTTTACCATATATTCTCAGATATTCTTTTTTATATACAAAAAGTGCAAGTCTTTTTTATTTTTATTTGTGTTTTTTTTTTAAATAAATTAATGCAGAAAGCAATAACGCGTGTTGGTCAAGTAAAAGTCAATGACTGCGAGTGATAAAATAAATACAAGAAACATGCGATTTCTGGATGGCGAATTGGTATTTATGAAAAGTGACATATTGCTTTTAATTAAATAAAATGCATGATAAGAATATGGTCATATCACACTATAGCGGTCAGTCGATCAGTCGGTTTTAGCGGTCCATATACATATATATACAGTCGATATACCGCATTAGCCTTAAATTTACTAATCAATTTGCACAAAAGCTTATCAGCTACTATATCTACAAGAAAATCTTGTTGTATATTTTAGCTAGCAAAGTAATGATTATACTTATTGCTATACCATATAACTAATGGAAAATTGATAATACTAAAATTATCGGCGTAAAGTTATAAAACAATCGACGTCGATAAGTACATGAAAACTTTTAAAGTACTCAATCAAACTGAAATGGAAAAGAACACCTTGAGCTCATTAATATACATTTTCTGTTCGAATAAATTATATGGGATTTACTTCTGTGTATGAGTTTTAAAATTTTCGTAATATATATTCATTCGTATATGCTATGTATATAATTGTTTTACTACAATTTTATAAGTAATTATTATAACCCGATAATTTATCATCCAAAGATAAGAAAGGAAATTCAAAAACAACTACATTTAAATACGTAAACATTGGTTAAAAATAATATAAGAGAATGCATGTAGAATAAGATAATATATTTGCTGTATTTATAAAATAACTGACTTCTTGATTTGTCAAGTTCAAATGATTTGTATT